GCGTGCGCCGCCCGCCCTCCGGCGCGGAGGGACGGGGGTGTAAGAGGAAAAGGCCTGCGCCGTGGGCGTGCAGTGTCAGCCGGCGGCCCCCGCCCTCGGCGCGGATGCACGGGACGCCCAGGCTCTGCGTGTGGGCGGCCGGGAGGGGCGCGCTGCCGTTGCAGGACGATCAGGCCGGGCCTTCTCAGGGTTTCCCTGTGCCCCCCCGATGGCCGGGCGCCTCTGCGGTCGCTCAGCCTGCGGGTCCGAGTGCGCGGGGAGGCGGGGGGCCGGCGCTGCGCAGAGTCACGGTGCCGCCGCCGGTCACGCCGCTGCCGGTCACGCCGCTGCTGGTCACGCGGCGCCGGGCGCTGGGCGGGTCAGCGGGGACCGTGTCCGCCGCCGACGGGGGAGCCCTCCCATTTCACAACCTCGTACATATCCGCAGCCCCCGCGGAAGACGCAGCTTGTGAGCGACAGGTGACAGTTGTTTTTTAAAATGACTGACCTTTGCGGAAAGTTGGACAGATGACCTCCGGCTCTAATAGAAGTAAAGCCCCGCCCGGGGCGGTGTTGACGGTGGTGATTGATGCTTCATCACAGGAGGGAGGGGTTCTCTGAAGTCTTTCCAATGATGGTGTCAACCAGTGGTTCTCAACCTGGGGATCGAACGACCCTTTCACAGGAGTCGCCTAAGACCATCGGAAAACACATCTATAATTACATATTGTTTTTGTGATTAATCGCTGTGCTTTCATTATGTTCAATTTGTAACAATGAAAATGCATCCTGCATATCAGATATTTACATGACGATTCATAACAGTAGCAAAATTACAGTGATGAAGTAGCAACGAGAATAATGTTATGGTTGGGGGTCCCCACAACACGAGGAACCGTATGAAAGGGTCGCGGCATCAGGAAGGTTGAGAACCGCTGCTGTAAACGGAGGAGGACTGGAAAACTACCGGGTGAACACGCCCTCCTGCCAGCCTGCTGACTGTGGATTGTGACTGCAAATGGCTGGGGTAAACTCTGTGGAGGTCCATGGCGTTTATTTTTGGAAGTATTCTCGTGTCACCTTTTATGTTAACTTTAATTTCACAAAAGTTGTGTTTGGTTTTTCCACGTTCACAGTTTATAGAGTGAAAAGTCAAAATCTCCTGCACTTTCACCCTTTTCTCCCCTCTCTAAGGTAAACACAGCTAATAGCTTGATGTGTCTCTTTCTGAACTGCCTTTTTCTTAATCAAAACACTGGAATATAGGGTAGAAGCGAAAGTCTCTGTCCCACCTGACCCCATACGTATGTACGCACGTAGCTATGTGATGGACACATATCACAATGGCTGCACTATGGGATTTGCCATCAGTCAATTTATTTTTTACCATTCAACACTGTATCTTGGACATTTTTTCATCTAAGTACCAATAGATTTACTCATTCATTTTAAAGGCTGCTCAGCAATCCTTAGTTTTCTTTCTGACTGACATAGAAAGTTTCAATTTTTTCAATAAACCCCCCGGCCCCCCCCCCCAAAAAAAAATTCAGTGAGCCTCTTTATGTATACATCTTAGTGCACATGTTCAAGTATTTCCCTAAGATAGGTTTCTGGAAGTGACCTGACTCAAAAGAGTATAAACATTAAGAATTTTAATCTATACTGCTAAATTGTCCTGCAAAAAATACTACCAATTTACCTTCTCCATTCATAATGGATGAGAGTGCCTTGTTTTTGCACAACCTTTTTTAAACACTTCATGTTGTCATACTTACCTGATGGGTGAAAAATAGTGCCTTTAAACTTTCCTGGTTACTTATAGGGTTGAGTATTATTTCAAATGTCTATTGGTCATTCTTTGCTAAGCATTAACTTTGTATAGCTTTTGCATATTCAAAAATTTGGTTGGGTATGTGATTTTGTAAAATGACATTTTTATTTCAGAGAGGGAGTGAGAGCTAGAAACATCAATGATGAGAGCGAATCATTGATTGGCTGCCTCTTGCATGCCCCCCACTGGGGACCAAGCCCGCATCGAACCGGGACCTTCTGGTTCATAGGTTGATGCTCAACCACTGAGCCATGCCAGCTGGGCTATGTGACTTTTCTTAGTTTACAGCAGCTCTTTACAGTCATGACTTTTAACACTTATATTTGTAACATTTCTTCTAGTTCACTTATTTGTTAATTTTGTTTATGGAGTTGTTGGCTTTAAACAAATAGCCAGATATTTCTCCAGCAAAATGTTTTCCCCAGAAACAAGAAGGAATTGCAACTCCGACTGCAGTGTGATGGAGAAGCACCTACACCGTAGTCCAGAGAAACAAGCAAGAGGAAGGCTTGTCTATGGATTTGGGAAGGGCTGCTGTAAACAAAGAGTCCATTGGAGGAAACTGAAAGTTCAAAGTACAGTGAGCTTTTCATTGGCTGATTTATGTCAGTCTCTCATTTGCTCAGCTACTACTAGACAGGGAGGAATCTTTTGTTTTTTCTTCTGATGGGCAGAGAGCCTGAACAGACACTTTTTTAAAGAAGACATACAAATGGGCAACAGTTTTATGAAGAAATGCTCAACTTTATTAGCTATAAGGGACATAAAAATCAAAATATAAATGAAATACCACCTCATACTTGTTAGAATGACTATCAACAAGACTATAAATAAGTGTTGGAGAGGTTTTGGAGAAAAAGGAACCCCCATACACTGCTGGTGGGAATGTAAATCGGTACAGCCAATTTATAGTAGTATCCTATATAATAAAAGGCTAATATGCAAATTGACCAGACGGTGGAATGGCTGGTTGCTGTGATGCACACTGACCACCAAGGGGCAGACGCTCAACGCAGGAGCTGCCCCCTGGTGGTCAGTGCACTCACACAGGGGGAGCGCCACTCAGCCAGAAGCCAGGGCGAGTGCAGCAGCCATGATGGGAGCCTCTCCCACCTCCGTGGAAGCGCTACGGATGTCCGACTGACGGCTTAGGCACGCTCCCCGGGGGCAGTGGGCCTCAGCTGTTAGACATCCCCCGAGGGCTCCCAGACTGCGAGAGGGCAAAGGGCGGGCTGAGGGCCCTGCCCCCGCTGAGTGCATGAATTTCGTGCACCAGGCCTCTAGTTTATTTATAAAGATGTATGCACCCCTATGTTCATTATAGCATTATTCATAGTAACCAAGACATGGAAACAAGTGTCCTTCAGTGGGTGATTGGATAAAGAAGATGTGGTACATGCACACAATGGAATACTGCTCAGTCATAAGAAAAGATGAAATACTACCATTTAGGACAGCAAGGGTGGATCTTGAGAGTATCATGCTAAGCAAAATAAGTCAGATGGAAAAGGACAGGGACCATATGATTTCACTGTGGGATAAAAAAACAAAAACTAGTATGGTGGTTCCCAGAGGGGAAAGGGGTGGGGAGGAAGTTGAAGAGGGTAAAAGGAGTAAAAAATATGGTGACAGAAGGAGATTAGGCTTTGGGTGATGAGCACACAATGCAATATATAGATGATGGAGCATAGAATTGTACACTGAAGAAACATGCTAAAGCATGAACTTATATTTTATTCAAATTAGGACATTTACAACCTGGGCACCAGTGATGCCCATTGCTATTAGGTGTCAGTACTTCTTGGCCTTTTCAGTAGACAGTTACTACCTACCATACAACAGTCCATAGTAATGGGTTGGAGCAAGCATGTCAAACTCGCGGTCCGAGGGCCACAGGCCTCGTTTATGTGACTCGAGTTAGCCTGTGAGTTTGACATGCTTGGGTTGGAGGATTTTTATTTAACTTTTCTGAAGTTTAGACTCCTGTCTCTTTTATGCTGAAAATCTTGATTCCTAAGTTATTAATATAATGATTATCTATCTATCTATCTACTTTTGTCCTTAGAGTCCACCCACCAGGGACGTGGGGTCAGTGCTGTATTTTCATCTCTCTCCGTGGATGTGCCACCAACTGGATATGCAGTTAGAAGCATTTGCTTCAGTTGGTCACACATTTTGAAAATATAAACATTTCTCTGCCTTTTGTTAATTTTGTAATAAAAACATTTCCAGGAGATAGATAGGTGTGAATAAATACGCTGAGCAAATGCATCCAGGAGAGGAAAGGTTCCTCCCTTTCAACCTGCTCTCCTGCTGCCCCTAAAGTGTGGCCAGGGCATGTGCAGCCTCACCTTTATGTGCCCTAGGCACGCAGCCAGGGTCTTTGCAGATACTGTCTCGGGTGACCGTCGCTACCGCCAAAGGAGGGAGATAGTTTTATTATGATTTGCCAGTGAAGAAATTGACTCTCAAAAAGGTCAAGTAACCACCCAAGTCACACTATTAGGACATGAAGAGTTCAGAATTCAAT